TACAAAGGCACTTTGTTGAGATGATTGATTTCTTTGTGGGGCGTCTGTTGTGTGCACTCATGTTATGGCTATTCTGCTAATGAGTGGTGGGGAAAAAGTATTGAAAATAGGAGGAGTGAATGTACAGTACGTCTGAGTCGGTCCTCCTCCCAGTTATTGAATACGAGAATTGGAGGTCGTCTCATAGATCTTATGTGGAACCTCAGAGAAAGCCTGTATCTCGACGGCAGTCATTTAGAGGTTTTTAATAAATGCGAGATGAAAGCTCACCCCCGAATGTGAGCATGTTTGTGTCTCAGTAGGGAATGAACGTCGAGACGGGAGAACCTTTTCATTTCAAAATGAAAGGGACAGACGATGTGCAAGGATAACGGAGGGAAAAATAAAGGCATTAAAGAGAAAAGCCTGAACTGTTATTCAGTCAATTCTGTGAAAAGACCTCAACAAGGCTTCATCTTCTAACAAATACTGTTTTCAACCTCATGTAGTGTTACAACGGGTTCTTCAAATCTACAAACACTGGTCTGGAAAGGTTCAACACGACACAGCAAATATTGGTAGAATTTTTAGTTCATGAAAAGACCCTCACATCCTGGAGTTTTGATGACAAATAATGTAATTGATTTTCTTGACCAGTCAGTAAATGTGTGTGGTCTGAATGTGCCAGTCAAACATCTGAACCATACTGGTCATTATGATGGAGTTTTAGGCTTGAAGGACTTCCTGAAGCAAAACCGTTTTCCCGCAGTGTATGGAATAACAACATGTGTATCTACTGTCAAGATTAGATAATGGACAGTGGGATTATTGGAAATATAGTGTGCGTCATTGAGCCAATGCATAATGTAATATATCAAAATACATGTAGAATTTTAATCCTCTAAACAACGTTAATACATTTTTAACTAATCAATTAATGCAATTGACATTTCAATTTTGGCAGACCCTGCACATATACTGTGTTTGTACTGTGTTTGTACAATACATATATACAGTATGTTTTTATATGTGAATATGTACTGTCTATCTGAATACATATATATATTTAGTAGAGAGTCGTTAGTTTCAGCATTGGTAATTTAACAATACTAATGAAATATGATTATGACTTGCCATAATTAATGACTCTTAATATCAATACATCACATTAATTTTTTATTTTTTTCTCTAATATTTCTTATAATTATGTGCTAATTGTCCTTGAAACAATGGATTTTTAGACATTAAAGGTATATATTATATATATATTTATAATTCGAGGCATAAATGTTATCTGGTGGTGATGATGATTTGTCATATATCACATATTGTGACTGGTGAAAAAACACCAAACTATCCTTTAATTCTTAGATTTTTTTAGTGATAAATTTGACTCTGGCTTCAAGGCTGTCAGATAATAATGAGATCAATGGGAAACACACTCTTTTTTTCCCCCTGTCTATTCTTGTGTGCGTTGAAGCCAATGTCAACCTGACACTTCTGTGCTGTCCTTCTGTTGATCAGGAAAGAAAAAAAAACCCCGCTTCACCTCAACAGTTGGATGATGTAGAGCTGAGATATACAGGCCAGATTAAATGTTCCTCCTTCTAGAGCTGCCATGTGCGTGCGTGGAGATTTACGGTTGTGTTCATTTTGAGTTTTAAGCCCTGGGGGGACGTGGGGGACAAATGAGCCTGCACAGCATCTATCCATCCGTCCTTATGGACACACAGGCAGATGCAGAGGTCTACACGCCGTCTATAAATTACAACAGGGTTGTGCAAGAAGCACAATTTGCACATGGCGAAAACTTCCCCTGCTCTCAGACATCCAGACGTTTACGCTTCACCTGTCAATTTATGAATCACATGCCGCACAAAACATCGTCGGAGGTTGCTCAGCCTTTCCTGAGGCTGTCAGCGTCTCATTTGTTGTATGCAGTTGGTGTCAAGTGTAGGAGGAACGGAGGAGTGAAGCAATCGAACAGGTTTTTTTTTTTAGGCGTGGGCTTATATCAGAGAGGTTGTGTCAGCTCTTCAACTGCAGATGAATCACTCCACTAAGGCTAGAAACAGATTGAAAAGCAGACGACGAGAGTAAGGGTTCTTCTTCGAGTATCAAAAAAAATGTAATTCCAGTAGATTTCTGACAGATGGAAAGTGCGGTGTTTGCAAATGACTCCTGTTCTTGTTGCCGTGGTGGTAGGATGACATGACGGTGTCCTCTATTCTCCGACTGAAGAACATCTGCGACGGGGTTGTAGCTCAGACATAATTTATGTCTTGGACAAAAACAGCTTGATCCACTTTAGTCACACTTGAAATCGGGATTAGAAAAATCTCCTGGCAAGTGATGTGAGAGTAGTCAAACCAGGTCACTTGAATCTCACAGAAATGACCACGAGAATCTGGGAGAAAAAAGGGGGAGAAGAAAAGGGAGCTCTTGCTGTCAGATGTGCTCTCCTCTCGTCGGGCAGATGGATGGCCAATTTCCACTCCAGATGTGCTTAGAATCCATCCAAACCCAGACTGGAGTGGCTTTAAAAATGAAACAAAAAGCCTCTGACACTTAGAAGAGTAAGCTACACACTGGCAGAGGGAGTTCAGTAATTATTTGTAGTCTGCTTGGTGCCAGTTTTTATTGTAATTCCAGATACGTGCGGATGTTATGCAACTCGAGCGAAGCCAAAAAGCACGATGGACGTTGTTGTTGTTGGCCTCTCTGCGTTCACGTCAAGACAGGGCTCGGTTGATCACAAAGAGAGATGATGCTGACAGCTTCAGATCCTCGGACTCTTAATCTGCTCCCACAAGTTTGGACGTGATGTAATCCTGCAGTGTGGGATTAAAGAGAACACACACAGACTCACAAAAGGAGTCATTGTGGTTTCTTTTGTGCTTTTCAAGGGTCACAACAGGGGTTAATAGACTGTTGGAGGCATCTGAGGAGTAGATAAGTGAGGCAGACCCGGTTAGTTTTTCCCCTCACCTTTTCTAACTGCAAACGTCTGCCTCCAATAGGGGAAGTTTAAATGTTAAAAGCCATAGCTGACGAGATTCTATTCAAAACCCCAATTATTACAAAAGTGTGTAAAATGTCAATAGTAACAGGCTTTGTTCTGATAAACTGGTAAAGTTAATTAATTTTCTCACAAATATTCCCTCAGTTTTGAATTTGATGCCTGTGAGACATTTTAAAATAGCTGGAACAGTGGACACAAATGACAGGAAATTGACAAAGGCATTACAGAAACCTTTTTTTAAACAATATACTTAGTTAGGTTCTGGCCAACTTACTCACACACGCACACACAATTACAAAATGTCATTATGAAACCCAGCAAATAAATCATCCTTTAATTAACAGTCATAACAGTTCGGGAGGAAATGTGCAATTTATGCCATGTTTTAAATATTGGCATCCAATGTTGCCTCTAGTGAAACACTCACATCCATGCAGCGCATAAAATAAACCCCAACGTGAACTGTAAATAAAATAAACACATTCATTCTGTACCATTTTTCAATGTAATTCAATAAGTGACAGGTGAGACCAAGCAGTAACTACAGTGAAACGATGACTATCACTGTCCGGCCAATGACATGAAGTGTTTCTAGCATCTTTACTTACGCAGCCAATCAACGTCAACAACAACGGTGCAGCTGCATTGCAGTTAAACATAACTGTGCGGCGGATATAACAGAGCTAAATGCTGTTAACACCTATAATGGTGAAACGAAAGAAGTGAAAATTAAAAAAAAAGAAAAGAAAAAAAAAGTATTGCAGTTCTTTATAGTGGAATGGCTGTCACAGTATGTGTGATCAGAAGAGTTTTTTTTTTTTTTTTGCATTCCGTATGAAGAAAAAGGTGCTAATTGTGTTTGAGTTAATTAGCCATGTAACTTCTCAAGAGCTCGGGTCTGATCTGATGCTGATGTCAGCCTGTTGTTGCTCACTGTGCTCCAAGGAATTCTTAGTCTTGCGTGTACATGATAAATGACAGGGAACATTGACCTTAAAGAGTACTAAATGAAATGTTTGTCATCGGCGGTGACGCTTCTTAGTTTGTTCTATTTTAGTCCCAGCTCGTCCTTGGAAGATAAGGAACTGTAATTGTATCACAAGGACAGAAAGTCAAATTCTTTAGCTTTCGTTTGGAGCTAAAGCTCTAGATTCCCAGCGATGTCTTCGTTAAAGTTCACCTAGGAAACCGCTTTCTTGTTTCTCAACGCATATTAGTGAGAGTCCACCAAACATTCTTGGACAAACTTCCCCTCTGGAAATATCTACCGTTCAATTGTATGGGCTATTATGTCTAACGCATTAGCTGTGCATAAAAATTTAGAAATAAGACCAAAATGATTGCCTTCAAAATAAAAGCTCTTCCTTTTCCTGTATTTCGTGCAGCTATCACGGTGTTCGACGTGTTATCGTTACATATTTTTTCTTATTAGTACTATAATCAGTACTCTTTATCTACTTTTCAAAAAATACCAAAAAATTAAGAGCAACTGTTTTTCCTGCATGTTTTTTTTTTTTCAAAACAGAATTTTAACATGATTGGAAGCATGAATGTGGGCCTTTTTTTAAACCCATCACAAAATGCAGTGAAATACAGCATTTTAGCAAATTGTGGTTGGAAATGACAGACGTTACAGATCACAGCCAGTGGTTCCATAACCTTGAACTGTAGGCAGTGGTTACATTTTTTATTTATGTCACCTGGGCTTAGCAGCGTCTGTTTTGTCAACTTATCACACACTCATTTCCATGGTGATGCATCAGTTAAAATACAGTTGACAATCGTTGATCATGTTAACGTTTTCTGTACTTAGCAGACAAGTGATGCTTGGTCCTTAGATTTGAAAATCAGTAAATACAAATACAGTATAACTTCTCTACATGGTCTGTGTTTATAGAATCTGCCTCATTATATGCACACTTACATTGAAAATGTATTTTCTTTTTTTAAAAAAGCACAACTACAAGTTCCTAAAATATCCCTTCTTTTATTTCCACAGACAACTGCAATGGCCCCCTGGTATCTGCGTTGCCCCATTCTTCTTTCAGCAGCTCCTCTCAGTCTTCAGTCAGATACGCGGCCTACAATGCCAAGCTCAACAGAAGAGACGGTGAGTGCAGACACACAATGTTCTGTCTCTTCTCAATGCTTCAGTTCCTCACCACCCACCTGCTGTAGCAGCACTTACCGAGAAACGGCAACAATGGAGGCAGCAGAGCAGAAAATACCCACATGAAGTGTTTGTTCACCGGTCATATGGCCGGTTTCTGAGTCCAGCAGGGTTGGAACAACTCTTTAGTTCTGCTGCCTCACAGTAAAAAGGTATGCGGGGTGTAGCCCCCCCCACGTTCACACGTATACAGGCCATCAATCATCAGTGATTTGACAGAAGTGCAGCCGTTAGTGCTTAATACATTTTATTATTTTTCTCAACAACTGTAAAAAAAAAAAGAGTCCAGGAGGAAATGTTTGTCACAAGTAACAAAGTCTCCAAGTGTTTGCATTCACAATACAAGCAACAAGGTACTACACTGTGTGAATTCTGAAATTCTGTGTTATTTCTGATGATTCATCCTGTATTTTTTTGCATCAAGAATGTATTTTATCCACTTCCAATTCAGTCACCGTACATCTTCAGCCTTTGGTTATTGGTCCAGACTAGTCGAAGCACGTACAGGCACAACAATCGAAACCTTGTTGAAAATACAGGAATAGCAAAATATTGCAAACAAAATTCACACTAAAAAAAAAGGATTTTCTTGTGTTAGAAAAAAATGTATTCAAACCATTTCCTGGACTCTGAAACTTTCAAAGTCATGTTGTGGGGTTGTTGACCAACATGTGGGTCACCGTCCTATCAAATGCTAACATTCCGCTCTGCTTTACCTCGTCAGTACTTCCAACCCCGCCGGTTTTTCTTTGGTCTTCTCTGGATTCCAGCCAAATTCCAAATCTGTGCCTGTTAGGATAATCTTACCTGAATGATTATTTTCCTCTTTATATTCCAGCCCTGGGATAGGCTGTTGACATTGTCCAGGGAGCTTTCAGGACAATGTTAGCCAGATTTGGCCCCACGCCAAAGGATAAACCGTAAAACAGATGGATGAATGGATGGAGTCCTGGCTGTTTGGGGAGTTCTGCCTTTCAGTGAGTCATAGAAAAGACCGGCAGACAGAGAGAAAATTTATTCCAGCCATCAGGGCTTTTCAGGGTCGTTGTCAAAGAGGGCACTTGCCCCTTTTGGATGCACCCTAGAAGAGCCTGAGGGGTCAATTGGCATAAGGCAATAAAACAGCTGCGGGAAATACAGAAGTGGAAAACAGACAGGTGCCAATAAAAGTTGTTTCAGTGCACATTTCCAAATGTCACGGCATCCTCAAAGGGACGGAAAAAAGGTCTGATTGTTTTTGATTTGGTTTTAAATTGGCTGTGGCACGGTGGAGATGATGCCTTTTCATTGTCTCCGTCCCTTTTTAGTCCTGTGCTCCCTCCTCTAGTGCAACTTCCAGTCTTTTGGCACAAATAGAGCTGGCACTGAATAAATAAATTTCAGCAAATATACCTCCCCAGAGCTGCCGACATATTACATCTGCCATAAAAATCTAATCAGGCCCACAGTTGGCGAACAAGATAATCACTTTTGGGCTGTCGGAAAACAACCAAAATATGACCAGCAGGTGAATTACCAGAGGCTGTGCACATGCTTCAGAATGGATCAGCTATTTTAGAAGGGCAGAGAATAGAGTGGTCACTGGAGCGTAGCGTCACCTTGAAGCCTTTTTATACACTAATACTCCCCGTGTACATATCATGGCTTTGGACGTTTTTGCAACCCGAGCCGGGTTAAAGCTATGAGCTTAAACCACAACAGTCCAACGCTTGTCGACATAATTGATGTTTTATGGATCTACCTTGTCTCTTCGGCCTTGTTCCAGGAGCAGGAGGCTGGTCCCCCATGGTGACTGACCAGGATCCCTGGATTCAGGTGGACCTCAGGGAGCAGTTTGAGGTGACAGCTGTGGCCACGCAGGGACGTTACGACAGCTGGGACTGGGTCAGCAGTTATACGCTGCTCTACAGTGACACGGGCCGGGCCTGGAAGCAGTACAGGCAGGAGGACGGCGTATCGGTGAGTGTACATACGGGTAGTCACATGATTAGCAATCCGGTTTGCTTTGTCCTTCAGGATTTTACAGTAAATGTTCAGGCAAATCCCGATCACCTCAGCAACTAGCTTTATTAGTAGTATTTCCCACAGTTCTTAGTTACATCTGAATTTTATGATTACCGGCGTATTTTTTTAAAACATTTTTCATTGAATGACATCAACGGCTGGGCTGAACTAAGGTGTAATTGTAAATCCCTAATTTGCCTAAAAATAAGGCTTCGCTCCAATAATTGCAATCAGAATATTGCTAATTATTAAGTGGAGCAGCTGTAGAACTGAAGCTCGACGGCGTCAGCTTTTAATTAAAAACACCACAGGTTAGAAACCAGGTCACAAGTGTCGCTGAGCAAGACTTCTTACCTCACATGGCTTCGAGTAACTCTGCGTGAACTACATTCAGGATAAAGAACCTTATAACTTATAAATAAAAGTGCAAATTAACCTGTGACTTAAATGGAATATCGGTTCAATTCCTAAGATGTTTGGAGAGGCTTCGCTCTGCACAAAATAAAAAAAGAGAAATACAAAAAATATATATATTTCAATTTTTAATCTTTTTTGTAAACATTGATGCTAAGACATGGCGTCACCAACTTCCTGTCAGTGTTGTGACACACGTGACTACAGTCAGGCGACAGATGACATCTCCTTTCTTTTCAAATCGTTTTGTTTTTGTAAATTATTTCCATCCTTTATCCTCCCGTTTTAGCAGCTACTCCATAACTTCCGAACAACTGACGTATTAATTCACGACTGTTGAACAAAATCACCCAATAATAAAGACGTGTTGTGTTTGTTGCAGGTTTTCATTGTCGCGTCGTAAACATCGTATCATAAAACCTGGCAGCATGAATTAGATTTAGTCGCATTTTGTGTATATATATTTTTTTAATTGCACGTCACTCTGTGAGTTTTATAAATGGCATTTGCAGATAACTGTCAGATAAAATATCATCAGACTTCAGGCGTTTTTTGTTTTTTTTTTCAACATGGGAAATGTGTACAGCGACAGGAAAAGTTGTTGTATTTTTATCCTTCATGTAGTGTCACAGCCGGTTATATCAGCCTGAACAAGGACGTGACAGCCCTTCACGAGCAGCCTCATGTCGCACATTACACATCCCATTATTTCTGTACCTAGTTGGGTCCAGTAATGTCAGAGGCTGCTAACAAGACGCTAAAGTGGTGGTGGTGGTTTTTTTGTCCCCTATTTGGAAGTGAAGTGATCTGTGTGTGTGTGCACGCCCCCCGGCTTTAACACTGATGCAGAGTGAACTTTCATGTGAGGTGATCATTGTGTCTATCACTGTGTGTGTGTGTTTTTTTTTGTTTGCAACACTGTTTGTGTGTGTGTAATGAGCCATATTGTTAGTGTGTGTGTGTGTTTATGGGCCCTTCTGTGAGTGTGTGTTTTATAGGTGTATGAGAGTGTATATTTGTGTAAATCTGTGTGTGTGTTTGTTCAAGCTTGGGACTGCACATGTTTGCGAGTCTGTGTTCATGGACCTAATTGTGAGTGTGTGTGTGTGTGTGCTGAATTATTTATCAACACTCCCCACGGTACAAGTGCATCACCAGAGTCAGACCAAAACATAGAGCTGAGAGAGAAAATAAAGTCTCATCACTTACTTTCTGCATACGTCTCATCGTACCGGTGTCACTTGTGTTGTAAGTGTGATGAACGTCACAGTCAAATTTAACAAACGTAGCATTTATTGTTGTAGAACTAACGTCTATGTTGACATCTTTCCATTTAATTCTTTTTAGTTCCTACACTTTCTACATAAACGTAGTACAGAGCAGAGAGTTATTGCTGTCGAGTGATCATTTTCTCCAAAGACTTAGACAGTCCTTTCTAAGACTAAATAGTAGGTGGGTTTTATTAGTATACAACATGTATTGGCACAAAAGTACACATACTATCACATATGCACTATGACAATCATCCATCCATCCATTTTCATCTGCTTATCCGTTACCGGGTCACGGGGGCAGCGGACCCCACGACCGCCACCCAAATCACACTGCACCGTACCAGCCCCTCATGAACCTTCCTGTGGGTGGTGAGTCCACTGGAAGGTACCAACCGTCCTAACTGGAGGTGGAGGTGAACACATTGACTCTGGGCCAAAGCGCCTCTATGACAATTATATATGACTAAAATAACGATTGATATTTCTTTGACTTGTTTGTTCACCTATTGGTTCCATTGACTGAGTTGGTAAAATGTATGATAAACTGTGACAATATTTGTGATTTGACAAGTGCGTACAGGTCTAGTCCAGGTACCGATTTTAAAAGAGGTGTGAATACCAGTTTTCAGATCAAATATGCACAGATAATTATGGAGGAAATTGGTTTTAAACGTTGTAACAAAAACACTTAACACTTAACTGTGTAAAAAGTTGAAAAGTATGAAAGTTTAGTTTCCTGATGAGACGCACACATCACAGCTCCAGTTGTTAATGAGCTCACACTATCTTCCATGCAACTCTTTATCATCACTGGATGAAGAGAAAAAAAAAAGAAGCGAAAGGAAATATAAACTCTTGTGCAGCGAGAAAATGAGTGAGTGTGAATCAATATTGTCCAAACAGCCTGCAGCCATCACCCTTTGTAACTGTCTCATGAAAAATACCCCTTAGATATCAAATATTAACATTCAAGCAGCACTTAACTAGGGCATACAGGGACAGGTTAAAAAAAAAGTGCAATAAATGCACGGTCACACAGCAAAATTAAAACGCGACCCGACTCTAGTGCTTTTTTTTTTTTTTTCTTCTTTCCGTGCGATAACAAAATCTGTGATATTTAATGAAACCCACACCAGAGCCGACTAACTGCGGGCTCTTACCTAGACCTTTCACTGATACGAGCCCCCACATCCGTCTGGCATTTTAACAAGTGAAGCTCAAAGGTAACAGCTCGCTGTCAGAAACTGAGCTGAGGGGGGAACTAATGAGAAAGCAGCTGCCGCTGACATGACTGCGAGCTCTCAGCCTCTCTGAGCCGACACTGAGTCAAATTAGCCTCGCAAAATAAAAGGAATCTCTGTGAAAAAAAATAATAAAGACAAATGCCACGATTCACGAGGCAGCAGTGCTCAGATGATGTTGTCATTGAAACAGGTTTTGATCAGATTTTAATTAAAGTAAAATCCAGCATTAAGCACTAATACTGAACTTCACTAGAGCTGACCAGGCCATCCACCAGATTTTAAATGAGTTCCTGCTGTTGAAGTGCTAACTGAGAGCATACTTCCAGAGTGCACTGCTGTATGCAACATAAACCAATCATTTGTGAGAACCAACAGCAACCTGTTCAACTTTAAAACGTGAGCTCAATGCAGATGTGAGGGCTTGTAAACCGTCTGACAACATTTAGTTTTATTGAAATCACTGATGTATTTTTTCTCATTCGAGTTAAAGGGAAAATCCAGGCATTGTTTGTGTTGTTGCCTTAAAATGAACCACGGAATATTTTTAAGCGCTAAGTAAAAAACAAAAAACATTTGATTTGTACTTATTAGCTAAAGAATAAAAATGTTGAATGTTGTTGTTTATAGTTAAATGTGTCACAAACAGCAAAGGAAAGATAGACTGGGTATCATTTTAATGTTTTGAACATTAAAATAGTTGGGACTTATATGTACAGAAACATGAGCCGTGATTCCCTTATGAAATCACTTACGAACATCTAACTGCTTGAAATGTAAAACTAAAAAAACTAAAACTTTTGCCAGGTAGTTCAACACAACACAAACAGATTTGCCCCAGTATTACAGCACCGCAGAAGCTCGTGTCGTGACGGACTTTGGTTGAAGTGCTTGTTGCTTGGCTTACACAGCTTCTACTTGACTTTCTGCAGGAATTATTTCAGAAAAAAAAACAAAAACATGCAGAAGCACAAGTGAAGCAACTTAATTACTTTTGTGCTAATAATAAACCTCATTAGTGAAAAACCTAATAGAATAAAAATGTGTTTGATTAAATTACGTGTGCACTGTTACTGTCAATATCAATGATTGAAAAAAGAAAATACTTTATTCTCGCATGTCTTGCTGTAGTAAGAATCTGGTCTACATCACTCTGTGACTACATGTACGTGGAGGAGCCTGCAGAGCTGGCATTAGTCTAATTCCATGGATGTGTAATGTATTCAGTCTGCTGAATGGCAAATTAGCAGGTGGGTCTTCGCAAAAACTTACACTCGTGGTGAGGGGCCTTTTTCCAAAGCATGGGAGGCGCTCTAACGTTGTTATCCTCGGAAAGTCGTCTTCACAAAAACCTCCTTTGGAACGTGTGTAGATAAATACCTCCTCTTTTAAAAGGAGTGTTAGGGGGAGGCTGGGAGCGGGGGGTTCCCCACATTTATTTTCCTTGCAGGATAAGCGCTCAGGTGGATGGTGGGATCTCAGGAGAATTCAAACGTATTTGCATGATTGGTCTTGCATGTTAAAACCACTTGTATTTTATTATCGTTATTACAACACGGCCCCGGTCTCACAGGTAATTTAAACAATCTTTCCATCGCTGCTTCTAAAACCGGTGTTTGGAGATAAGATTTTTGCTTCACTCTGAAGACAGACGTGTTGGTCTGCTCCGTAAAATATCAAAGGTGGTGGGATTTGGATGAAATGGAATTTTCCGTTGACCTAAGAGTGTTGTTAAATAAATGAGTTCTAGGGCACAGATTTGTTGACACGTCCAAGTAAGTGGTGCAAGTTGATGTTCCCTGTGGGAAGACGAAAAAGTCGACACTTTTAGCATCAACTTGAACAATTCATACTAATCACATAATCACCTCATAAAATGGGTGGTAGCGTTAGCCTACGCAGAAGGAGCATTGATAAAAAACACATGAAGACCTTCATTACTGGTAACAGGTGCACAGAAGCTAAAACGTTAGTGGACACTTGAACAGGAGATCCCGTCACAAAGCTAGCTAGAACAAGTGATTACTGTATTATCTCCAATAGCAGAGCTCTAAACGTATGGAGAGTTACATGCTCATCGTTGGACGTGGTTTTTCTGTGTGGTTTCGTCTTCTGTCAATGTGACGATGTCATAGTGTGTACTCAATACCTATGAAAGTCACCTACGTTATCTACAGCTGGCAACAATGTTATTTTAACCACAAAAGTTACCATTAAATGGGTCTCTTTGCAGTTTTTCCTGCACAGCAAAAAAAAAAAAAACGCGGGCTAACGTATCGGTAGGAATGATAGTGTTTTGGTACAAATGCGGGCTAACGTATTGGTAGGAATGATGGTGTTTTGGTACAAAGTTTACATTTTTTCCCAGTGTGGATGGCTACCAGTGTGGTTCTCATTTACACTCAGTGTTGCTCATTTACAGCTGTACCCATTGATAGGAAGACTTCAGAAGACAGTTTTTCCAACCAAGTTTTAGAACTTTCTTCATGCCTTTTAATCTTACTAACAGTCCAACTTTTAGAAAATATATATTCTAAATTTCTAAAAAATGACAATTTTAATTGGACAAAATAGAGCTATAAATGGTGGGCCTTGATTTGTCCACTATTTGCCTTAATATAAAGTCTTAGCAACATTAACGTGGTCCAAAGATCGGGCCATGCCTGGCAACAAAGAGGGTTTATTTTCGTCCACAAACTGGACACCAGGAGAGGTACCCATAATTCATGAGTACAGGTGGTTCAAGTTTACTTAGTGGCAAAGTGCAATCACACAATTTCCTCGGTTGTAGAAGCATTGTTCCGGCACAATCCACACTTTTTGCTCCTGGCAAGGTCACAGAAGCCTGACTTTTATTATTTATACCCTGAGGCTGTTTAACTGTCCGCTGACCTCACGGAGCAGAACCTCGTTGTCTTGAATACTAGCAGCCAGGATTAAACCCCAGATGCATTGATTAAAATAAACTTACGTGGTGGAGCTTTAAGCAACATAAAGGAAAAGTGACACAGGGGAACTCATCGCCGGAGCGGAAGAGCAAAGAGTCTTAATGAAGCGGGAGGGACACAGTTGTACAGTGACAGAAACATAAATAGAAATAATGAAGTCACTCTGGGGTTGAGATTGTTTACACCGATAAAGACCAACATCTTAGCTCTGGCCTCATGGAAAACACCCTCCGAGATTCTGCTCTGACTCCCAGTCGACGCACAGGATGTTGTGTGAGGGAGTGAGATTTTCCATAAGAAGAGAAAAAAACACACACGTCAACTCCAGGACGGTCTCTCGGGTGTTTGTGTTGGGGGATTATTCTCAATAATGATGACGCACAGTGACGTGGGCGCAGTGTGTGGTACTAATTAATGAGTTGTACAGGCCAGAGTCAGAGTCAGAGTCTGACTCTGGGGCCAAACGTGACTGTCTGTTTTCTTGTTTTTAACGATAACTTCCCAGGTTAATTTTTTAATCTTGAACCTCTTCCTTTGCTAACTTTTGTCTATTTTTGGTAAATTTTGTTTGTACGAATTAGATATTGACTTAATTTTAGCCAATTACCTATTCGCATACTTACTATTGAATTACTATTACTTTTTAGGTGTCAATCAACATGTTCCAACTTTAAGAAGAACTTCAGAAAAGTGTTTTTGTTGCTGTTATTTTGCTACATTTGCAATTCGGCTTTTATTTTTTATTATTTTTTTTACATGTTTTGCTTTATTGTTAGCTGAAAACAAGGTAAATTAATGCGACGTAATTCAAGTTCAAATGCTAGGTTTGGTTTCCATATAAAAACCTGAAGCTTTTAATTCGGACAGAAAATGTCAAATCTAACTGTAGAGCAAAAGGACTGTGTACTCTGAATGCAAGAAATGCATAATATATATTTGTTTTCCTCTTAAGTGCATGACTGCATTTTGAACTGATTTAAAAATATATATATATATTATTGCTCTCCCATCCTCTGCAGTGTACAGGGCTTATTTAAAAAAGGCCCTTGTCAGATAATGAAATTGCATTTGATTGATCCAGTCCACCGTCCCACCGTCATTTTTTCCCTGTAAATTACAGCTTGCGTATAAATTAGCTCGGCCCTGCACATGTTTTAAGACTCGGCCTCTGCATAAATGGCTCAAAATGGAAAAACGCCGGCATAAATCACAATAACAGCTTCCAACAGTCACACCGTCGCCTTGATTATCTGGCCAGAAACAGCTTCCCAGTGTGTGTTTAATGATGCTTCTTCCTCTGTGAGCAGCAGCAGCAGCAGCAGCAGCAGCGGCGGCGTCGGCGTCGCAGTTGCAGCAGGGTCATTTGTGCTGCTGGTCAATGAGCTGGTGTTGTTACAGAAAGCTGAATTATTGGCCGTCTCCCAGGAAAGGCCCTAAGCCCCGCCGCCGATGATGTATCTTTTTTTTCCTTCTTCTTCTTCATCGTAGCAGCACCTATTGATCTGACAAGTCACCTACTCCGAATGGGTTATGAAGAGAATGGTAATCAGTCATTCAGAAGAGTTTGCTTGTCTCACTTTGTGTCTCCATCTGTCTTTTGCCTTCTGTTCCTCTATTCATATCCCCTGGTGTTGTTGGGTGCAAACTTTAAGCGAACGGGGGGAGAGGGAGAGGGCTGGGGGAGAAAAAAGGGAGAAGAAGAATGACGTCTCCCAACTGTATTCAGAGGTTTTTGTTTTTCAGCTCTGCAGGGAGAGAACACAATACCACTGCTCTTATTTTGCCCCCAGGCTGCCTCACTGGTCATTTTTCTTCCATCTCTCATGATGCAGTTTGAAGGGATGTTCTTCTCCTTCTGCACCACACTGTGATTCTTATCACTGCACCACAGAGTAGACGTTTGAATTTGGACTATATATATTTTCTTCTGACGTGAAATGTGTTCAAAGGTCACATCAAGGAGCTGTTTTTCCAACTTTGTATTCATTTTACCTCTAACATGATTCTAAGTTATGAATATTCGGTACATGGTACATGCTATCTTTTAGCTATTTTTAGCATTATAAACAGTAGGTGTTGATGAAGGTTCATTTTGGGGTATTTTTTCTGACTTTGTTTCTCTCCTTTGTTGTGTTTTTTTGGTTTACTCATCACATTGGCTAAGTTTCAAATTTCAATTTGAGGAGTTATATTTTTGGGTTACTTAAGTGTTAAGGGTTAAGTGTTACTATGGCATTCTTTGGAATGAAAGCGTCTGCAGCTACCTTACTAGCTACAGTATCTGATCAAGAAAAGTTCTTTGAGGCTTAGCTGAACAATGGTTAGATGTCTTTTAGTTTTCTTATCTATGTTGTTGTGGGAGCTGTGAAATATTGTTTGCTTGTATTTATCAGTTGGCGAAGTCTTCCTTCTTGGTAACCTAAAGCGTCTTTTACCTTATTATTAGTGACAGATTGGTTAAATTCCGTTTGAATGGCATTTGCTATTATTGGTTGTTTTAAAGAATTTCTTCCTAATCTTAATCGATTTGAACAATTTGGGAGTGAAAAAACACTCAGGTATAAGCTTCAGACCTGTCACAGTGACAGTTCTTCTCCATCACAGTGTCGGTGTTCAGTTGTCGTTTGTTTGATCCTGATTTCCATGTAAGAACCCAAACACATTAACGTGGCCCTGGTGAAGGTCTGCCCAGCGACCCCTGACCTGCCGCTGACAGAGGCACGTTCTGCTATTCACCATGCGAGGTTCATCTAGCTGCACTAACTGCGCTTATTAATTTAAAATAGCTGGAAGCAACTGAATGACACGACCAAGCAGTGACTGGTTCTCTGCCAACTGGGTTGTGGTGAATGTTGGGGTGTGTTCTACTCTGCGGTATACTCACTTTAAAAATATAGGGTCAACCAAAAATGTTTTTTTTTTGGCCAAACTCATTGTTTGGTATTTGTACCAAACGTCCTGTCCTGAACAAGTTCTAAATAATTTAAAATAGAAGCAGATATAAAACGAAAAGAGTGTGTACTCTAAGATGGGTTTGGCTCTGTGTATATAAAAGTAAGCTGGTTCTGCTGCCACCAGACTCATACTCATCGTATTGTCCCATTTGAAGTGATAGGTTCACATTTCTACGCCAAAAGATGATTCTTATCACATCATAACAAATACTGAGAGGCTAGCTTGTCCTTGACTTGGTCTTTTCCTGTAATGTATGACCGAGCAGAGCTTAGATTGTTATTCTGCTTCGATTTCATATATTCACCTTCCTACAAAGAGTTTTCCTTTCTTGTGTAAATATCACCGCTCACTATGGATGCCAGTCCAGCGGTGGCTTCTCAGCAGAGTCGGGATTAGTGTTGTGCCACAAATGCAGTATTTCACCCTCCGTCTCCCTCTCTCACTCGCTCTCTCTCCTTTTTTCTCCACAGAGGTTTGTTGGGAATGTGAATTCCGAGGCCGTTGTCCAGAACAAGCTGTCTCAGCCAGTGAGGACCCGTTTCCTGCGCTTCATCCCTCTCGACTGGAACCCCACGGGCTGGATGGGCCTGAGAGTGGAAGTGTACGGCTGCTCCTACAGTGAGTAACACACTCCCCAGCATTAACTCGGTCCTTCAGCTGCACGTCAAACATCTGCAGCGGTACCACCTTTAAACTCCACGTCCAATCCTTCTGCTTTGGAGAAATAATTAGGGCTGTTTGTCCACGCACCTGCTTGCGATGAGGCACTTCAGAGAGGCGGTGAAATGATTCATCAAAGGACGGAGCGGGGTCGATGAGAAAATCTGATTCCTTCACATTCCACAAACACTTCTAAAATGAATGGGTGAACCACGTGCACCATGACAGCGGCTGTGAAAACATCTGTTGGTACTTAGTTGGTTCTACTCTAGGTGTGGTTTTCATGAAGTGCATGGTAGTCATGTTTCTTTTTTTCATTGCTGGATTTGGCCATTTTTAAAAGAATTAGATAACATCTAACTAATCTCCCTGGTGACTGGTCGATTCATTGGTCTTTACACGGGGTAACCAATAAGAAGACTGGGATGTACCAGTAGGTCGCGAAGGGAGTACTGGTAGATAAAAGGTAGATTAAATCACATTTAAATATATATATATATATACCCACATATTATGTATGTTGAGTGGATGTAATATATTCTGTTTATAAGATTAAAATATATATTAAACTAATTAGTTTTCAGTGTAACTAGATCACTTCAGTCTGGTCCTTTGAATAGTTGCTCCAAAGGCAAAACATGTGGACAACCCTGATCTATACATTCTAGCTCTATCAAAATTCTGATTGGTCCGTTTTTATTATTTATTTATTTATTTTATCAGGAGTTAACAACTTGTTCTCACTATTTTAGATTAGCCCGACCCGTAGACAGACAGGTTGAATAATGTACTAAAAAAAAGCCTTGGTCCAGTGGTTTGCTAAATATTTGTTTTCTCCTCTATCATGTCAAAAACATCCACAGTGTGGCAGCATTTTACAAAAATAGATAAAAAGTCAGATAAAAACAATGGAAAAATAGTCGACTGAAAAGTTCGCAAGCAACAGTTTTCATATCAGGTTTGATCACCTAAAAACAGTGAGCTAACTTGTCTGTTAGGTTGTTGGTTTGAGTGTATGAACATATCAGAATTGGCATATTTTAATATTTTAGTCTAGTTATCCTTATATAGATATCTCCGTAGATAGTTCATAAGGTTTGAAGTTTCAGACCTTGGATGTCCACATTCATCTGCTTGTCCAATCTTAACTACCTCATATTGAAAATGCCTGATTCGGTGCTGCGTCTATTCATTGGGGATACAAGTCCCCACCCTGACGTGTCCCACATAACAGACAGAAGTAGGACTACTCCTCAGGTGCAGCACCACCGGCTGTAGGGCTTCATGTGGTTTTGTGTCAGTTGAAACGTGTAACACACACACACACGGACACGGACACGGACATGGAGTAATTACAGTACAGTAGAGTTGGACGTGTCAAGGCTTGGAGAAACGGAGGAAATGATCAGTCCTGGAGCTTGACAGCAGTGGGTGTTTAATGGAACTTAATTAAGGGGTTCATTTAGTGTTGGCTTTAAATTCAACTATTCATTTTTTCTGCATTCAATTTATTTATTTATATGATTTGTATGTAGCTAAAGTGATTTAGTGATAAGACTTTAAGTATTAAAAAGAACCGTTTGTGCATAATCTAAACAATGACAGAGTTGGAAACACTTTGAATCCATCTGTAAGTATATCCTCTATCGTTCAGGTTTAAAGAAGCTAACCTTTAGCAAAAACTTTTAGATTAATTCCACTCATTTGTCAGACTTGAGATTATTTTTTTTAAGTTATTCCACCTCGTTGTTATCAGTTAAGTTTTCCGCACTTTAAAATATTTCATGCCCTTAGTTACTGTTAACTTTGTTGGCTGTTGTTCTGATTTTTTCCTCTAGGCATATAATATATTGTTATATTTTGCTAACTCTAAGCTTTGTAATGGTTAACTTTGAGCTATCTTTTTGACTGCATTGATTTTTGTAAATTTTCTTGCCCAATTTGAATATTTTCTGATATTTACCTGAACTTTTAGGTTATTATTAGCATTATTATTATACCAATTTGAACATTTTCTGATATTTATCTGAACTTTCTGTGCTCACCTTTAGGTTATTATTAGCATTATTATTATTTATTTTCTCTTTGTTTTTAGCTTGAGCTCAGTTCTTTATATTTTCTCCACAACTATTTGCCTGCTGGATTGGACGGTTTGGTGTGTGGCCAGTCAGTACGGTCCCAGCTACAAATACAGCTCGTAGTAAAATTAATATCCTGAGATTTCTCCGACACAACGACATTGCAGAATCACTTTTGTGAGTGCGCCTCTGCCGGGCGTTTATGGAGCAGCACTAACTGGATCAGCCAGTGCACTGTGAAACGCCCTCAGAATATCACACACACAAATCCCCTTTTTATGACAACCCACCACCGCACGTATTAATGTTGTATAAGCAGGTGTAAAACTAATGTGGCCTCACTCACTCACTCACTCACCCACTCCTCCTATAACCGCATGCCTTCCCTGAGCCGCGTATCGCTGTATTAAAATGCCAGATATATTGCGATTGGATTGATGACTGACTCTTATCCAAACTATACTGTACTGTGAAGGAGACAGAGGGAGGTAATGCTTTTCTGCACCACACTCTGCTGCTTTAATAGGAATAAGGAGTACATGTGGAGGTGACACTGAGGATGCTGCTCCACATTATTACCTCATTTCTCCTTGGACTCAAGTGCATACGATTAAGCAGCAGAGTTAGAAAAAAAAAGAAGAAAAAAAAACGCTGCAATTTTCTTTTTCTTTTTCGCAGCAAAGTAGTTGCTTCCTCATCACACTGACAGCTTTTTACCGACTCAGCCTTCAAATACCATCAGCCCGGCTGTCACTACCTCTGCACTGTGACATAAACTCCTGCCAGATCAAAATTTAGGAATAATTAACGGCTTTCTATGACTCATGACGGGCGCTTTGAGACAAACCTGTGAAGTCTGCGCAATCTGCTGCTATTCTGACCTGTCAGCTGAAGCCCTGACACCTCGGTGGCTCACACACTTGGCGAGGTGTGAAGATGAGCGACAGGCAGCAAACGAGTGAGAAAAGTGTCGAAGCTGTGCAGCTCTCCTCGTCTACTGAGAGTGATAATGAAGCCCTGATTAATATTGAAGGCAATCGATCACCATGAGGAGAGAATTAGTCCCTGCTTTAGGACATACAGTCGGACAAATCCGACTAGGGTTGGACTATCTTGTCCATTTAACTCAGAACGTAGTAATTGGTCCGAGAAAGTGCGGCGGTCACTTCCTCTGTGAGGTCAGCATAAGAAAATGCTACAACTGCAGTGTGAAATAACAAAATAATATTACAAACCCCTTTCTGGTAGGAGACAAATATATACTGGAGGCAGGCCAGTCTGAGACGTGATTTTTTTAGTCTGTGCTGGGAGAGGTCTGTGGATATGTCCAAAGTGAGCTCCTTTGTCAATGTTATTGTTTGTATATAGGCTGTTTTTTGTGTAGATGCTGAATGGTGTATTTCTTTATTGAAGTTTGTCAATTTTGCTTGCGAGGACAATGTCTTTTGTGAAACAGATTAGCAGATGAGAGATTTCTGTTTTCGTTGGAATTCTCAGTACAACTACAAACGTTTGTTCTAATACTGTAGTTCTACATACTACTGCATAATACAGTATAGCAGGGGTTCTCCAACTTTTTCTACTCTGTACCACCTGAGAAAACATTGAGTACCACCATGATGACCAACATTAGAATATAGCAGCAGAGGCCTTCACTGTTAGCTTCCACCACAGGAGAGATGTTTAGAAAGATGTTTATGTTTAAATGTTGTATTCATTGTGCATGGTATGTTTCAGCATTCAACTGAAAATCTAAATGTGAAAATGTGAATTTTTCCTGCGTACCACTGGTGGTACACGCACCACAGTTTGAGAACCACTGCAGTATAGTACTGTAGTAGATGTGCAGAAACATCCAGAGTTGAGATTCGTCTACAAAGAGGTTAATAAAGCTTTTTCTCTGACAGTTTCTGAAAGTTAACAATTTACAAGTCGAAATGTTCCAGCTATTTTGGTAATATAGTCAATTTAAAATAAAAGTATATAATTTCTCCCACCGCTCGAGCGCAATCTCGTCATAGTATGAGGTGTATTCAGAAAAACTTGTCTTTGTACATTTCTGCCCAGTATTTACTGACTCGCAGGCTTCTGTAACTCTGTAATTTCCCCCCTCTATTTTAGAGTCCTACGTGGCAGACTTCGACGGCAGGAGCTCACTTCTCTACCGGTTCAATCAGAAGTCCATGTCGACGGTGAAGGATGTGATTTCTCTGCGGTTTAAGAGTCATCAGGCGGAGGGTGTTTTGCTGCATGGAGAGGGTCAGAGGGGAGATTACATCACCCTGGAGCTCCACCGAGGAAGGCTGGACCTCTACCTAAACTTAGGTGAACCATGCCTCGAGAACCTGCAGGCTTTTATTTAAACAAAGGAATTAGTCACGTCCTCGTGTTCCGCTGGGGACGGCTAGATGATCAGACGTTTTCTTTGTTTCTTGATGTGTTTTGTAGCTAACCTACAAAAACTACATTTGTAGACGTGGTTGGAGATAGAGCTTTTTGGGGAGTTCTTTTTTTCAGGAGACATTTTCAGGACAGATCTAGACAATCTGTCGCAGCGTCATTTTGATAAACATTTTACTGTTTTTGACATCAAGTAGACATCATAACATTCAATAATTGAGTTTCGTCGCAAAAGCTAAATACTTTAATTTAAAAAAACAAAACAGTGGATATGCTGTACGTTTTTATCTAACAACTTCAGTCCTCAGATAAACTTTTCTTTCCACCATTTATTTTGTCATTTTGTACAAATGACTCTTTCATTTCTAAACTTCCCAGCATAATATTATTATTTATGACAATTATGCACAAAATCTTTCCACTAAATTATACGTGATACACTGTTACACTGTGGACAGGGAACTTGACTACTTGCCACGCGGAGATACTGCTTTACAGATATTGACCTGAAGGATACAAAACACCAACTGTAACGCCCACTGGGAAACATTACTGTTTTGTTTTGTTTTTATTTAACTTTAAAATAACTTTAACTTAACTTACAATATATGCCACATATTTACTGTATAAATATATATATGTATATATATATACAGATATCATACAGGGGGATTTTATATCAGTCTTTGTTTTTTACTCTCTGTTTGTGGGAAGCTACTACATCCCTGCCTGATCATCTGAACTCTTGTTTCCACATCTTCTATACACAAGGTTAACATTTCTCCCCCCTGCTGGCGTCGCACAGACGCACAGGCGGTGGCATCATTTGTGCGCTACATGTTTTTGTTTTGTTCTCCTTCAACCGTCTGATCTCTGCCAATCGCTGCCCACGCACGTGTACATCCTCACCCAGTGGAAATGTGCTCAGCGCTGCCCTGACTGTCTCCTCTTTGCTCTTCCAGACGACAACAGGCTGAAGTTCAGGAGTGGCCGCGTGGCTGTCACCGTGGGCAGCCTGCTGGACGACCAGCACTGGCACTCGGTTCACATAGAGCGTTTCAACAAGCAGGTTAACCTCACTGTGGACACCCACACACAGCACTTTCAAACAAAGGGAGAAGGACACTCGCTGGAGGTGGACTACGAGGTGAGTGCGAACCGACAGAGTGTTCTACCCTTGTTGTCTGTCCAATAACATCACCGTCAAACAGTGAGAATCCTGAAATGTACGTGTGAATAAGAATTCAGACATGTTGGTGCTAAAGGGTTTCTGTAGCTTTGATACAGTACAACACAACACAGTCCCACACCAGGAAAACTCAGTTGTTGCAGCGTTAAGTTTGACTCACGCTGCACGCTGTGAGATGAACATTTCTGAGTCCTTAATGCTCACTCACATGGAAACAGAGACAGAAATCAATAAAGTAGCAAAAAATAAATGCTCAAAGAGTTTAGTGCAATAGTTGATACAGTTTCCAAATATACAATAAATACCAAATCTCTTAGTCTAAAATGGACTTAGACTTTGGAACCGGGTCTCCATGTATGAGGTTCTCAAACGTTAGCACATTGTGACAGAGGCAAAACACATGTTTTGTTTATATATTCTTCTAAAAGTGTACCAACTTTTTTGGAAATATAAATAAAACTTCAGGTGAGTGAGTCTCCCGACTAGAAAAACAGAGTGAGAAGTGAAGGTGTATTTTTTTTAGATTTTTTTGAAGAAGAGACGTTTCACTGATCCTGTATCCTCACATCCGTGGGCAGGGATTTTTTTCCGAGATGCGGGGCCTTGAATCCATAAGCCCTGAGGATCTGAGACCGCACTCTGACTCACACTGTAGCAGCAGCGTAACTGGGAGCTAAATCATAACATGATTTAAATGTTATCAGCACAATCTCAAGGCAGCTTTTGGACTTAATACAACAAATTACACTGATCTGGCTGAGATGGAATAAAGGTACGGCTGACCTTCTGGAGAGCAGGTGGAAAGAGGAGAGACAAAGTACAGACCCGGTCTCTGAAAAACGGCCCCCTTAGGCAATAAAAGCATGGTTTTTGTCCCTAGTGATTTGTTTTTGTGATAAAAGGTCACTGACAAATATCATACTTGTGTGGTTGCTGGTTTGATATTTACCAGGGCTTTGGAATATTTCTGTCAGGACATTTTGGAAAGAAAAAAAAAATAGAATTCCATTTTTATATTTGACACACACACACACACACATGCAAATTTGGTAAAAAATAAAAATAAACAAAACTTCATGGAGGTACTCTGTACACAAATACCCAGAAAAAACACCAAAACAAACCAACATGCTTGCAGGTTGTATATTCTGAGGAAAAGGATCTAAAATAATAAAAATTATAATAAAAAGACATTCAGTGCTGTGTTTTAAATAGACATGGACATGTCAAGCACATGTAGGCCAAGAATACAGTCCTGAGGAACACCGTTCCCAAGAGGAACAGAACAGAAAGTACTGTCCATGATCACATGACACAAAGACAATTTAAAACCGACATTTTCTCTTGAAAATAACTCATGTTCAGAGGGCTCTTAGAGCTTTGTTTTAAATTAAACTCAATTTTGTTTGTAATCTGTATGTCCAGGATCTCATGTCTTCAGAAATGGTTTGTTTAGATCAGCAGAAATACACATAGGTAATTTAATTGAATTTTTTTTTTTTACAAAACTTCAATGAGGTACTCTGTACACAAATACCCAGAAGAGGTGTAACTTTTGCTATGGATCTAGATATTGATCAGATCCAGGAGTTGGCTCATCTAAAACCTAATTGAAAACAAAGAGACTGTTGGTCTTTGGCCAAGGTACAGTATGCACTCAGAGTGCCATTAGTTAAATGTGGCCATGAATCAGGGGCATCTTTAACACTTCTATCACACTAAAACACCTTCTGTTAGTTCAATTAGCGGAAAAAGCTGGAGGTGAAAAAGTGAACCCGGTTTGAGGGAAAATAGTTTTGAAAAAACAGTCCGCTACAATAGGCCAAATAACGCAGTCTTGTCTTCCATATATATATATTTTTTCTTTTTTACAAAACCTACCTCTTTGCTGACAATACTAAATAAATCCGGTTGATTTCTTCTGGCTAGAAAATGAACTTCAGGTGTAAAACTGCCACCTACAGGCTGGAGTGTGTACATCAGTGTTATGGGTCTGCCATGACCTTAGTATAAAAAAAAATCCTTCAAAATATTTTTTTCCGCTTATGCTTTAAATACGTGAAATTGAAAAGTGGTAATCTAGCATAAGCATATACCAACCAGGTATGTTTGTTTGTGCAGAATGTTCCGAGGCCAAGGATTCCACCTTAAGAAACACCATCTGTTCTCCTTGAGAGAAATACATTTGCATTTGAGTGTTCCAAAAACAGAATTTTTTTATCTATAATGGATTTGTAAGGATAAAAGAAAAGATAAAGACCAAACTTTTTATCGGTTGAGTGTTGGGATTCGGGCCAGAGAAAAAGCCATTTGGTATGGATCTGGATGAGGTTCGGATCCAGGAGTTTTCTCATTGATAAAGTTTAATTGAAAATAAGGGGGAGAGTCAGGCCTTTGCCAAGGTACAGTATACACTCTGAGTGCCATTAGGTAAACGATGCCATGAATCCAAGGTGTATCTTGAAAAGTTTTATCGCACTGAAACACCTTCAGTCGGCTAAATTAGCTGATAAAGAAATAAGACAAATAAACGAGTGTTGCATGGAAGTAGAGTCCACTGCTCTGAAAATAAAAAAAATAAAAATAAAATAATAATTAACCTTTTGTGTAAATATTACTTCGTAGTATTTTTTTTTTTGTCTTAGCTACCTAGCTTTGAAATATATCTACCCGATCATGACCAAATATAGATTAATGAGCCCCAAACATAATAATACAGGGTTTTTCAATCTAGGGGTTGCGAACCCATGTGGTCATGCCTGGAATTCAATATGGGTCGCCTGGAATGTTTATTATAATTATAACTCTTTTTAAAATTATGATTAAAAACACCACATACATTTTTAAATATATGTATTCTTTCACTTTTATGAATAAAAAATGAGTTCAAATAATAATAATATATTAAAATATTGAATTAAACATATATATATATATATATTTAGAGAGAGAGAAAATTCAAAATACATATGTATTGAAAAACAGTATACATATTTCTGATCAACCGAACACAGACCTTTGTGAAGTCAAAATGGCCTCACAAGCCAAAAAAGGTTGGAGACCACTATAATATCACCTTATCAAAAATATATGTATATTCTGTAGGACCGCGGCCTATCTCTCTGCTGTGATGAAAAGCTTCCACTACTCTCTTCCGGGAGGGCTTTCAAAAAATATTTTCAGCTGAAAGGATTTGCTTTCATCCAGTCACAAGAGCATCAGAGAGGTCAGGCGCTGATGACGGCTGATAAGGCGCGGCTCCGCACTTGGTGTTGCAATGATTCCCAGGACATCAAATGGTGCTGAAGTCAGGTGTTTGTGAAGCAGCCGCCAATTCCTTTCACAGTAGCAGGAAATAGGTGACAGTAGCAAAGAAAAGTTGAATTTGTTTAAGGGTTGCACGAGGAACAAGGACATTTCCAGGTTGGAAAGGAGGAGAACGACACCCTGAGGGGGGGTGTTGAGATCTGGCTTCTTTTTAATGAGGGTAAAAATCACAGCGTTGGACCAAGGGAAACAGCGTTCTTATGGGTGCTGTAGACTCCTGTATGGTTGGAAGCTGAAAGTGGATGTTGTTTTCTCACTCTGTGAATCACAGGCTCAGCTGTTTATGCAGAACCTCGTGGGAATATATGTGTGTGGGCTTCTTGCAGATTTCCGAGGCTGTGCTTCGACTACTGTTTGTTTAATATACAGTCAAATCCGGAGGAGCCAACTTTAATGACTTGTTGTCACTATTTGTCCCAGTTTCATCCCTGTTTGCTTCTTCTGTGCAGCTTAGTTTCGGAGGAATCCCGCTGCCGGGCAAACCCGGCACATTTCTGAGGAAGAACTTTCACGGTTGTATGGAGAACCTGTACTACAACACAATCAATATCATAGACCTGGCCAAGAGACGCAAGCCCCAGATACACAGTGTGGTAAGCCTAGTACTTTTTTTATTTGTTTTTTTTTTCCAAGTTACTCAACATACTTTTCAGAGATTCTGCTCTGCCTGCATTTATGTCACACTGTACTGTATGTACTGTGGAACTGTTTAGATCCCCTTGGAATGGAGGGAAGGTGGCTGAAAATCTATGTGCAGCGCCTCACTGGTACCAGACTTCTGCTGCAGAAAATGACAGTAGTTGTTTTTGGCGAAACTGTGAAAATTATATAATTTTTGGAGGCAGTTTTTTATCTGGCAAATTTATTTCATTTTGATCTTTTTGTGTATGTTTAGTTCCAAATGACTAGCAATCACTAAGCGTGGGTTGAGCGACTGTGGGCAGTTCACCAGTCTATTTTAATTTATCTTTTCCTTACCAGCCTCTCTCTGTTAAACAGGTTCTATACATTTTCATTTCAACATTTTTTTTTTATTGTCTGCCACCTGCTTGAAATAACTGTGTGGAGATGGTGAATAAACAGTAATGTCTCTTACTGTAAAATGACCATTTGCAGGTAGACGTTTTTATATTTAAATCATTATCTGTGCACACACTCATATACACAAACAAGCAGGAGTTATATATACCATATACTGTATATGTATATAATATATGTGTGTGGACAGATATAGTATTTTAGATATATATAGATATATATATATATATTTTAATTCTCTCTATTTCTCTCGCTCTCCCTCCCTATATATATATATATATATATATATCTGTGACAGCCCGGGTGTCCCCACACACACACACACTATATATATATATATATTTTAATTCTCTCTATTTCTCTCGCTCTCCCTCCCTATATATATATATATATATATATGCCTGATGCAGCAGGAGTCTCCAGTCAAACACACTCAGACTCAGCTGCAGAAAAAAACAGTAGAGAACAAACAAGAGCATGTCGCCCACAGCCACAAAACAACACGGAATTTGAAGTAGTCTTCAGGGGTGTTTTAGCAGCCACTCTGCTGAAATCTTTTTTTTTTTTTTTGTTTACTTTGACATCATTATACCTGGTTAAATATAGCCTGTCCTTGAAGGTTCTGTGTCATCCAGGTCAGTTTGTCCAAAGCAGTTAAATAGAGGAACTGGACTGTCTTGGTGTTCCTGCAGACGTTCCACCTCTCTTCCAAGAGGCTTCTGGGTGTTTAATCTTACTATGAATGAACAAAGGAGGCGACCACACCCTGAGGGGGACTGTGCGAGTCGCACGGGAGGTTGAATTGACCTGAGGGATCCAGTTTGACAAGGATACCAACAACTAACCTGCCATTTTTTTTCTTGCGATAATGATAATAAAGTCAGAAATAAAGAAGCCTCTAATGTAAGATATAATCCCGGTGCTCTCTTCTTAACTGCTTTAGGCTACTGTTTTTAGCATATTTAATTCATATGTTGGCTATTTTAGCTAAAAGGAAGCTAATAGCTATACATGTTAATAGCTTTTAGCTATTGATACATTTTTGTCAAAGTTACTTCTCACATTTTATGTGATCTATTTGTAATCTCCCTTTGGTCCACTTTAACCTCTTTTGGTTCACCTAGCTATGTTTGCTACACATAAGGGTGACCCCTGACCTCTGACCATTTACATCAATTTCTTACAACCATTTGTGAGGCAATGGGTTTCTAAATTTTGCATAACATCGGGGTTTTCCACCGGATCATTAAACACATCCTTTTAAGTGACTGTTGCTTAGCACGGAACACTATGGAGCCCCCTAGAGACTCACATGTGGGAGGCTTCATTAGAGTAAAAACAGAGGGAAGAAATGTCGCAGCAGATTAGCCTCTCAAATCCCAAAGCATAAGTGTGGCTCTACAAATGAGCTACGGGAAAAAATTCCCACTCATCAGATAGCTCACCGACACGGGGTAGAACATTAAAAAAAAGTGGTGGGATATGAAAGGGGACTCTAATGGTCCAATTCAATTTTCAAAAACCCTTCTAGCAAAGACTTTAATACTTATTTGATGAGCAAGAGAAAAATGTTTGGAAAAATCAGTTGTAAAGCAAAATTTGAACATTATATATATATATATATATATA